ATCCACCCCTCCCACTGGTGTTTACAAAGTCAAATCATCTTCCCCTACCTGCGTCATCAACCTATCTAGAGATTCCTTGAATATACTTATCTTGCTTCTGCTTTAGAGGCTTTGACTATCTGTCTCCTCTCCCTAGAATAATCTTTTTTCAGGTTCCGGCAGGATAGGCCCATTCCTGTCACACAGCCCCTCAGTTTTTATGTCACCTTTTTAGAGTGGTCTTTGTAACTTTTCTATCTAGTCTAGGGTGACTATTAAGTTACTCCCCATTTCATTTCATCACCCTATTTACATTTTACACAAGATTTCTGTTTGTTTTTCTTAAAACAGCCATATTGAGATATACTTTACATACCACAAGATTCATGTATTTAAACTATGCAGGTTGGCCCGGGCAGGGTCTCTCATGCCTGTAATCCCAGCACTTTGGGAGGCCGAGGCAGAATTGCTTGAGGCCAGGAGTTTGAGACCAATCCGGGCAACATAGGGAGACTGCATCTCTACACACATTTAAAAAATTAATTGGGCATAGTGGCACATGCCTGTAGTCCCAGATACTTTGGAGGCTGAGATGGGAGGATTGCTAGAGCCTGGGAAGTTGAAGCTGTAGTGAGACATGATTGTACCACTGTATTTCAGCCTGGGTGACAGAGTGAGACCCTGTTCCCAAAAATAAGAATAATAAAATAGAATACATTGTGAGAGTCAATGAGTTTTGGTATATTTATAGAATTGTATAACCATCAAATTTTCATAATTTTAGAACATTTTCATCACCCAAAAAGAAACCTTATACCCATTAGCAGAAGGAGAATGTCCCATTTCCCCTTCCTTCACTCCTTGCTTTACCTTCTAGCCACTGCAAACTGCTAATCTACTTCCTGCCTCTATTGATTTACTTATTGTAGATCTTTTATAAGCATAGAACTATATAGTATGTGGTCTTTTGTGACTGGCTCCTGTCCCTTAGCAAATTTTTGATGTTCATAATGTCATAGCATAAATCAGTACTCATTTCTTTTTATTGCCAAATAGTGTTCCATTGCATGGACCTGCCAAATCTTTCATACTTTTTTAATTAGTTGATAGTCCTTGTGTTGTGGGTGGCTTGTTTTCATTGCTTATTTTTCTGTCCCCCTCCATGACAGAAGAGAAGGGAGCTCATCCACGTCTGTCTCATTTGTTGCTGTAAAACCATGATTGAAGCTCTGTTTCTCATCTGCCCATGAGCTTCTCCCACTTCTGCTGGTTACAGACTGTCCTCCCCACCCTGTACTCTCACAGGGGCCTACCAGACTTGAGTTGCCAGAGCCCATGCTCCCTGCCACAAAGAAAAAGGGATTCTTGTGCCAAGAGAATGGGGCCATGATGCAAGGAGAAGCAAAGGCAAGAAGACACAAAAGGCAGTCAAAGGGAGCACCAGGTCCCAGCTCCCTGAAGCCTTAGATCCCATCGCTTTCCTTTGACTGAGCTTCTCCAGGCTCTTCCCAGGAAAAGGAATCAATAAATGTCTTTGTTCCTTTGGCCAGCTTGGCTTGGCTTCCTATTACTTGCCACAGAGAGAGTTCTGATGAATATAAATTGGCTTCTACTCACCTAACTGGTCTGGTCACAGTAACAAATAAGATTTGTCGAGGGTTTCCCAGATGAGAAAGTATTTTCATGTTCATTGTTTTGTTCTACCCTTTTAACAGAGGAATGTGTCACAAACCTAATTTTAAACACGAGGAAACCAAAGATTGGAGATGTCAAGTGATGGGCTTAAGTTCACACAGCTTATAAGTTGCAGAGCTGGGCCTCAAAACCAGTGTTCCTGGCTGGCGGTTCTGTGTCCTTGCCTACTGGGCCACAACCTGCAACTGGCCTTGGGAAGAAAAGGGACATTTGCCCCTGGATGCTTTGGTTGTACACTGAGTGCCTAGACCAGTGCCTGGAGTGGTTACTGAATAAATGGCTGCATTAATTTGACCAGGTTAAGGGGTGAAAGCAGGGAGTGATCTCTGCAGGTACCTGAGATCCAGTGTAAGTGTCTCTGGTTATCTGAGGATATGATAACCAGAGATATGAAGCAGAGTAAAAGAGAATCTGCTGGAACAAGTTACAAAGTGAAAATCAGACTTAGCAGGGGCCAGATGCAAAAGGAACAACAAAGGGCCATGTCTTCTGCCTTCCTCCACTCCTTTCCCTCTTCTCACCACTTGCTCAAATGTCTTTCTGTTATAGATCAGTCCAAACTAAGGAAAACAGTAGAACGTTTTCAAGGACCTTTCCTGGGTTCTGACTATACCTAAGGCAGGCTTTCTAGGATGTACCTCAACATCGTAACACAGGAGAGATCGAGAGGAGAGAATCTGACATTCGAGTTTCTGTCCTCACCTCTTGCTCTCCTATGCCCTCATCCTGCTGCATGCTCCTGGCCTGCCCTTCCTTTAATATGCCTCTCTTTCATCTGACCTCGGTACTACAGCTATGTAAATTTGTTCAACATGCCTCAAACTGGCCATGTTTGCCCCTCTACATTTTTGTTGTTGTTGTTTCTCAGCCTGGCAAACTCTTATTCATCCTTCAAAGCCCAATTCATGGCCAGGTGCGGTGGCTCACACCTGTAATCCCAGCACTTTGGGAGGCTGCAGTGGGTGGATCTCTTGAGGTCAGGAGTTCAAGACCAGCCTGGCCAACATGGTGAAACCATTTCTCTACTAAAAATGCAAAAAAAAAAAAAAAAAAAAAATTAGCTGGGTATGCTCACTTGAACCCAGCAGGTGGAGGTTGTAGTAAGCCCACATCATGCCACTGCACTCCTGCCTGGGCAACAAAGCAAGACTCTATCTCAAAAAAATAAGATAAAATAAAAGTTAAAAAAATAAAGCTGAACTCAAATGTTACCTCCTCTGAGACTCTTCCCCAGGGATTTTCCTTCATCTGAGCTTACACAGTATTTTATAAACATCATTTTGCAGCACTTGCAAGCTGTGTTATCCATTGCTGTTTTCTTACCAGAATACAGTTCCTTAGAAGCTTGGCTATGTCCTTTAAATTTTTGTCTTCTAGCCCCTGACCCAAAATCTGCACAATAGTAAATGCTCAGTAAATGCTGAATTTCCATGAATAAAGGTGTCATCTCCTGGGATGAAGGCCAGAGACTGGAAGAATAAGTGCATTTAAGAAACTTTTGTTGGCCAGCCTGGTGGCTCATGCCTGTAACCCCAGCACTTTGGGAGGCCGAGGTGGGTGGATCACCTGAGGAGTTTGAGACCAGCTTGGCCAACATGGTGAAATCCCATCTCTACTGAAAAAAAAAAAAAAAAAAAAAAAAAAAAAAAAAAAGGTAGCTGGGTATGGTGGTGGGTACCTGTAATCCCAGCTCCTCGGGAGGCTGAGGCAGAGAATCACTTGAACCCGGGAGGCGGAGATTGCAATGAGCCCGAGATCGTGCCATTGCACTCCATCCTGGGCAACGAGCAAAACTCTGTCCCAAAAAAGAGTAAAAGAAAGAAACTTTTGTTGACATCTTCTCTTGAAAGTTTCTCTTATATTATGACTGGAACAAAATCATGAGTACCACAATCAAGGCAAGTGAAACATTCTTGGAGCAGAAGTGCTTAAAGAACCTCTCTGGTTATGAGTTATTCTTTATAGATAGTACAGAGAGAAGCACTTTTACATTCCTGCTTTGGTTGCTCTTTTATAGCTTGTATTATGTAGGACGTTATTTTTTATTATTATTTTTTTTTAATGTGTGAATTTGATACTGCCATTTTGGTGCTAGCTGAAGGACGTTATTTCTATCTTCATTTTATGGCAAATGATGTGGAGGGAAGATATATCCAAGGTGATTGTATTCACTTACTGGGGTGCTATAGCAACTATAGAATGGGTGGTTTGAACAATAGAAGTGTGTTGTCTCACAGTTTTGGAGACTAGAAGGCCAAGATCAAAGCATCAGTAGGGCTGGCTCTTTCTGACGGCTGTGAGGAAGTTCTGTTCCATGCCTCTCCCTTGGCTTGTGGTGGTCTGCTGTCAGTCTTTGGCATTCCTTGGCTTGCAGAATCATTACCCTGATCTCTGCCTTTATGTTCACATAATCTTCACTCTGCAGGTATCCAAGTTTTGCATCTGATAAAGATACTAGTCATATTGAATTAGAGCCCAACCTGAGGACCTCATTTTGACTGTAAATAGGTCTGTAAAGACCCTATCTTCAAATAAAATCATAATGTTAGGTACCATGAGCTAGAATATTTAACACATGCATTTTAGAGGAACACAATGCCATTTATGACAGTGACCCTGAGAATTGCTGGCTGAGCGGAGTGCAGACCCAGACTTCTAAACCCAAACTGGGAGGAATAACAGGCAATTTTCAGTGAAGTCTGGGCCTCTGCCTTGAGCCCATCCCCTAATGCCAGTAAGACTTTATTGTGCTACTGGAGCACTTCAGAGGGACAGATGCTGAGAACACCCCAGAAGACACAGACAAATATTTATATCACCTGCATTGTTTCAGGTCCCCCTAGGGTGAATGAACCCATAATCATGGCAAGAGAGACAGAGGCAGAGAAATGAGGTGAGAGAGAGGCAGAGCAACAGAAAATAAACCTACTTCGAAGTAATGGCAGATTTTCCACAAGGCAATAAAGCTTAAGCTTTCAGAGCTACTTTTTTAAAGCCCTGTACTTAATTTTGTATGCTTTTGTCAAAGAGGGACCCTCCCCCAAATGATATAAAATCCAGGCTACCCAAAACCTGGATCTGCCTTTCTTCTAAGGAAAATGCTTGGATGTGGCTCAAATGGGACAAAAGAATTTCCCCTCTCCTTTATATACTTCTGAAGCAGGGCTCACCTGGGCTTGCTTTCTCCAAGTCTTGCTTAAGTAAAATGCCTCAGCTACCATACGCCGTGTACAAGGCAGTGTTTCCTCCTCTTGCCCTATCTTTGTCCACCTACGTGGAATGGACCTCAGTCTCCTTGCCTGTGAATGGCAGCTTCAGAGTCTTACCACAGCTTGTTGGTCCCTGGCAGTTATTCCTGAACTAAGTATGGAGCCAGAGCCCAGGACGGATACCACTGGAGCCAAAGGAAGTTTGGGAGGAGCTGCCACTTTGCCCAGCTGCTGTCTGAGGGATGCACTGACGCAGGCTGGGTATGGAGAGAGCAAGGTGACAAGCTCATTGGACAGCTGGGCCCCTCCCCTGCCAGCAGCTTTCCCTCGGGCAGCAGGGGTGCTGGAACTGCTGAGACGGAAATCATCCTTTAGGAAAATGCTGCTCAGCATACTTCACAATTTTTGTTTCTTTGGGCTTTGCCCTGATCTTCTCTAGTTTCTGCCTTTCCCCTTTCCGAATGTGACTGCAGAGCTGCATGCCTGCAGAACTGCTTCTGGCCAGGGCTGGCTCTTCATTTGCAGGTAATTAACTTGGCAGAGATGATGGCATTTCATAATTATGGTTGATTGATCAAAATGTCAACTATCTCGTTTCTCAAAAATGTTTTGTGTGTCCTGTATTTTTTTCTCTTAAGCACACAGTGTCTATTTGAATTTCTCTCTCTCTTAGATGAGATACATTTGTACCATTTGGGCAACATAATTGATGTCTTCTATAATCTGTCTCACAAGTCACATCCCAGAATTTCAAAAGGCCTGGGGTAATAGGCCCTTCAGGATCAATTTACTAGTATGACACTTAGGGGTTGATCAGCAGAGCTGACGTTACCCTATTCTTAAGAGAGCTATGCGACAGGACTTTTAAAAATGTCATTACTTCAAATATCTAAACAGTTAAACCAGGTGGACATTCAGTGATTGTTTGGTAGTTGGAAGTTATCATGGCTAGAAAATCCCCACTTCGAATCAACTATATATTCATGAAGTCCAATCAACTCTGAAGGCATGGCCTTAGAAATAATTATCCCTATTTTGCTGATGAAAGCTTTGAAGCATAAAGAGCAAGTGACTTACACAACTTTATATTGGTTCATGCATGTAAGTCACAGACCATAGATGAAATACTTAGTTGGGTATTTCTGATATCAGGCTAAAAATGAGGGCATGTTATAAAGGCTAGCACTAAAGCATGTAGGAATGTATGAAGAATAAGACCAAGGTGTGGCCAAAACTCACAGGCACCAGAACCTCAAGGTCATTCAGCATCTACAGTAGTTCCAAGGATTTGTTTAAACTGTTGCTCTCACAACAGAAGTTTGGACTCTCATTCTCTGCCAATAAAGTTATTCACTACTCTCCAGCCCATCCACTTCTCTTTTGACCATCTGATTGAAACTCACCGTTCTTTTTCTCCCATCAAATTCCATTGTATGAATAGTACTTTGGAGGTAGGCCTTCTTAAAAATCCACAGACCAATCTCTGAACTAGTTACATCTGGGTCCTTGGTTCATTTGGGTGTAGCTTGGGTAAGGGCGCAGTCATGTGCTACAAAAGATGTGCGCATCATTTAAGTCACAGTTAGAGGCTACTCTTCTCAGCCAAAAATGATGAGTCCCTTAGGAAGGGACATTAGGGAGGATAGATACCTCTGAGTGACTTTCCACTCTAAATAACACACTGACCTAGCCAAAACTATTTCCCTAGGCAAGTGATCATATATGGCAAGCATGTAGCAAAAGGGCCGATTTAATTTATCTTCTGGCTTCTTTTAAGAGAAGGGTAACTGAAGATGGGTTGTGGTTGTGGCAATTTGTGGTATCACCTTATAAAGCTATGAGACTTTAGATTCCAAAGGAAGAAAGAAAGAAGAAAGTAAGGTAAGAAAATGGTTAGCAGAGGACTGATATTTGTGGTATTTCAGCAGTAACATTATATAGTTAATGACTAGATGTAGGTGCCCAGGACATACAATTATTCACCATGAGGCCTTAAGCAAGACAGTTCATGGCTTGAAGCCTGGTTTGTTTCTGTAAACAGGAGATGATAATAGCATATGCCACCTACCTGCCTCTCCTGGGGTGTCTGAGGACAAGTTAACATTTGTACTGTGCTTTGAAACTCTGGGATGAAAGGTGTGAACAAACTACAAAGAGGTATTATACTTGGTGATTTGCATTTGGTGTTGAGCCACTTTGGATTCTTGTCTGAGACCAGACTTGGCACATGCAGTGGGAGCATGTAGGGTAAGGTCAGGAGAGCAGATGGGGTGCCCTAGGCCATGCCCCTGAAGCAAGGTCTCTGGGGTGTCACCTTGGGAGAAACCCGACACTGAAGAGAAAGTGCCTCAGCCAGGAGATTTACTTTCTGATAGACTAAAGGGTACAGGAGCTGTGATTTCTCTTGTTTCTGATTTGAAAAAAAAAAAAAAAAAAAAAGCTCTCCATGCAGTAAGATTAGACCTAGTGCAACAACTCCTTGGGGTCTTGGTAATCAAGGGGATAGCCCCAAGTCTGCCTAATTTCTTGCTCTTGCTCTTCTTAATTTCTCCTTCTAATCTCCATGTTCACTTGCAGTGAGTGTCTCTAGGCAGAGGCTAGAGAGATAACTTATGAAAGGTTCCCGCCAGACAGATAGAAGTTCCATAAACATCAGCTCTTAAACAATTACCAGTGCCTCTTGCCCCACCTTGTGGGCGGGCCTCCTTTTCTCTTAATTTTCTTCTTTTAGGTGGTCCCTGATGTCCATTTTCATTTACTCCTCTCACCGTTTCCATGGTAGTGTATATGACGGCTATTAGTAGCATCGGTGGGGGGCGCCCGGTGTATAGTTTGCTCCGGGCCCTAGAACCTGCTGGGGCATAGCCAGGAGCTGGACGTTCCCAAGTCTACGGCAAAACCCAGCTGTCTTCCTTTTGCCCCTACCTGCTTCTGAATTAGGATCCTGTGGCCTTTGTTTGTTTCACCCCCTCACATCCACCAGCAAAACCTTGATAATTTAAAATGCCTGGTGAATTAGGTGATTAGAAGTGACATTTAGAGCGGTAGGTTTTAATCCAAGCTTCCCCCTTTCTTACCCCCGGTGTGCTTGAAAAGTACAATTGACCTCTGAATCTGAGTTTTCTTACCTATCAAAATGAGGTAATAATGCCTATCATACCTATCCACAGGAGCATTTTGAGAATCAGAGGGTTTTTAAAGTACGTAAAAGCACTTTGTAAACTGTGAACCACTATGCAAATGTTAGTGATTATATTGAAGATGGTCATTAGTTTCTGGACCTGTGCAGAGATCATTGTACACAGACGATAAACTGAACAGGATTTAAATTAGCTAATTAAATTGGAGCTTTAAAATGCTTTTAATGAAGTCATTCAGAAGCAGCAGGGCCCAGATGCAGACATCTGAACCTCCACGCACATGAAGAGGCATGTGTGAAGGGCATTTCAGTTCTTGGGCTTTGTCGGCATTGATGACAACGAATACATGATGAGCTTAACCTTTATATTGATGCTGTTTGACTCTCTGGTAATGGGTTTCCATCTCTGGAGCTCTGCCACAGGGGATCTGGTATCCAAGGGCATGTGGTTAGAACTAGATTCTAAGGGTGGTGGGAAACCATTGGAAGACTTAAAAACAGGAATAACCTGATCTACTTGCCTATCTCTGAGGCTAGTTTTAGCACTTTCTCATCAATTCTGTGAACTTCTTAATGGAGTTCCAATAATCCTTTTTCTGCTTACCTTCACTGGAGTTGGTATCTATTGTTTGCTTACAATTGAGAGTGAAGGGACTGCTTGATGGGGGGCTTTCATAGTCAACCAGTGAGAAATGATAGTGGCTTGGACTATGGTGGTAAAGATGGAATGAATTTAAGATGGTATTGGAGGAATAGGCACTAGAATTTCCTAGTGGTTCGTGTATTAGTCAGCTAGGGCTGCGTTAACAGAGTACCACAGATGGGTTGGCTTGAACAACAGAAATTTATTTTATCACATTTCTGGCAGCTAGAAGTCTAAGATCAAGGTGTTGGCAGGGTTGGCCCCTTCTAAGGCCTCTCTCCTTGGCTTCTAGATGGCCATGTTACTCTGGTGTCTTTGCATGGTCTTCCTGCTGTGAGTGTGCATGTTTGTGTTCAGATTTCCTTTCTCATCCTTATAAGGACACACATCATATTGGATTAGGGCCCAATCTAATTACCTCATTGTAACTTAAGTACCTCTTTAAAGAGCTTATTGCCAAATGTCATAATATGCTGGGGTAACTGGAGTTTAGGACTTCAACATGTGAATTTCAAGGGGACATGATTCAGCCCATAACATGTGATAAGAGGGAAAGAAAAATCAAAGACAAGTTGATAATTGGCTTGAAAACATTTGTACATGTTTGTCTAAGCCCATAAACGGTCTAGAAGGAAAGGCGCTAAACTTATCGGGGCTGATCCAAGAAGTCACCTGGAGTCATGGTGAGGGCAGGAGCTTCCTTTCATATTTTATACCCCCCAAATATCATTTTTGTTGTACACACTTCATGTTTTATATACACAACAGTGATTGCATTATGGATACTTATTTTTTTATGTTCTTATTTTGTAAATAATATATACAAATGCTGTAAAAAGACACTGGAAAATATGGGGAAGTATTTGATAAAAGGCAGAACTAGATTAATGGAAAATACTTGGGTCCATTAAAAAGTTGCAGGAACAAATAGAACTTGTTGACTAAATTCAAAAAATGTTAATATTTTGAAGGGAACAAATAGACCTAAATTCAAAAAATGTTAATATTTTTAAGGGAAAAGATGGGATGGGGAACATGGGAAGATTTTTAGTATGGAAATCATCAATCCTTTTACTTCAGAGCAGAAAATTTCACAGCCAAGCAGCAGAGCACTGTGTCCCCTTTGATAGCATTTTTTGGGGTCCACAGCTATCTAGAATTGAGGCCAGCAGCTAGTAGGAGTTTACCTACATGGAATGAGGTGACCCCAAGAGAGCTTGTGAGCAGTCTGTCCAATCTTGCTCTCTCTCCCTGGCAATCTGGCTTTGGGGAGGTGAGAGGAAATAGGTCTCGGCTGTGGGGAGCAAGTAAGGAGCACTGTGTACCAAGAGCTGTGGAAAAAGGTCAGGCTGCCAAACAGTTTTGAGTTTGTTAAGACTCAAAACTGAGTTGAAATAATGAACCTGCCTGCAGGCCGATTTGCTCATTTCAGATCCTGGCAGTAAAATCGTGGAGAGGTGAGCTCAAAGCAGAATCAAGTCTAGGTGGCGAAGCGGCCAAATGGCCAAGGTAGGCACAAGTGGCAGCATGAAGAGGAGGTGGCTCAGGACCCTGGAGCAGGCCTGGGGCTGGGGAGCTACGGTCTTCAGTCATAGGTGGAAGTGTGGCTTG